TTGTAGATACGACCGTAACATTATTTTACTTGTAAATGTGCTTGATTAGTCATTGCAAATATACGATGATAGATCGATCAGTTTATCAGTTCGAAAGACCAGAGTGGAAATTAAGTGCTCGGAAAATCGGTAAAGTTGAGAGGTGCCCAATGCAAGGTAAAATCAAAAAATGTAAGCAGCCGTTCCTTTAGGAAGCATTCAGCTGCACGAAATTCCCAGTTAAGTTGTGCCTACTGATATGCATCCACATAATCTTCGATGATCATGTAGGCGGCATACATTTAGCAACAAAAACTCAAACACATCAAATTTCCAGTTATGTTAAGGCGATGACAACTTTGAATTGCTAATCGCCGAGTCAAATTCAATTATCACTTCAGTGCCGCTCGCTCACAGCGTATCTTCCAATCATCAGTACACAGGAAATGATAAACTTTCATGAGTGTTCCAATGCTCACGTTTATGATCGAATTCAGCTCTGTCGTTTAATTCAATTTCTGTTTCCAAACGAAATTTCATGGCACTCGAGCATTCATGCCAAAAAACTATAATATTTTCGAAAAACTTTGTTTTTTTCGTTTGATCAGCTGAAGTCCAATTTGCACTTGCCAAAACTAAATGATCGAATGGGATTTCACTGTTATGACAGGTGTGTTCGATGAAACGAGATGAAATCGCATTAAATGTGAATCAATCGTTTGAATATTCCAAAACGTTGACTTTCCTAAAATTTCGAATTCTAGAAGGAGATTCTCACGTTGATGTAAAACGGTCGGCCACCAGCCCGCTTCTCGATGTCGTCTGGATCTTGAATTTTGAAGAATCGAGCACCACCTCGTTTCTCGTTCACCAACGTAAACGGACGACCACCACCACGCTTTTCTAAAGTATCCGCTTCTTGTGCACTCCCTAAAACAGTCATTCGATTATCTCGCTCCATCTACGATCATAGAGCAAAATTACCTATGAATACGGTTACCGTACTGATTCAAGCAATCCAGGGCCGATTGAGTGCACATTGTTCGACTAATCATACACTCATGTGATATTCTAAACCAAAAATTCCCTCATGAAACACATAAGATTGGCCATGGGATACCTCAGAGGATGATTAGGGTAATGAGGTCAGTTAAACTCGTTTTAGTTCTTCAGACAAATGATGTGTTCAGGACGATTGACTCCGAATTGAACATTTCCTATGTCGTGCATCATTTCCGAATCAACTTAACATGAATCTTGTTGAAGCAGATTCGGTATATTTCACGGATATGATTATGTATATGAGAACGTATTTTGTAGCATACCCGATAAGCACTCAAAGCCAACAAAAATAGCATTCTTCAATTCGAGAATATTTGAATGCCAATTTTCTTCAACTGAATAAATGCCCATTTGAAACATACGACAATGACTTCAAATCACATCGATCACAGGAGACTAGAACATAAATCCGTCAAAGAGCTTTGAAAAATGACTACCTCGATAAAAACCACGAGGGAACAGTAATAAAGGATTCGGCTTCTTATGTTTTATGAATGCTCAGTGTTAAAAGAAGAAGTAATCTTAACTAGAAATTTCAACTGCAACGATTTATCAAAGGACAAATCTCAAATTCACTCACATCAAAAAAAGTAACTTTGCGAGTAGCGAAATCAAGCTCAATGGTGCTACAAAAGTACTTCAATCGCTCTCAGAATCGGTTCTTCATAACCATTAATCAACTCGGAGCTGATGAATGCGAAAACTTTGACTGAAATTGTTTTCTAGGCCGATTTGCCTATT